TCATATTTGCCACGCTAGCACAAGCTTAGTTCATGGATAACCAACTCGTCCGAGCCTTTTGAACAAACATTGTACTTGCTAAAGAACCTGCCTATGTGCGAAGCAAATAAGCAACGCGGCAGATATCACAGCTACGTGGTCAGTCGCTTTAATCTGCGGAAGATGCCACGAACGCCGAATAAAAGTTTGAAGAATAAGTTCCCTTGTAAAACCAAGGCAAAATGAACGGTAGAACATTTGAACATCACTATTAAGTCATGAGTTGGTATTAGATTCTCTGGCGTTGACATGAAGCGCACTCCTGGAGGACTCGCCAGCGATCGCTTTAGGATGAGTCCTGGCAATCAGGGCACCATGAAACGTGCTCCGAAATCAAATTTCACACTATTACCCTATTACCATAGAGAAATGTACTATATAAAGAGTGGTCACTGCAGAGCCTTTCCGTGGCACAGCAAGAAAGGACCTTACGAACCGCTAGATGGCGTACCCATACTCGCTCTTACTCCTTTTTTAAGACATGTAATAGCCTCCTCAGGAGGACAACGAATACCCAAGTATGGCATCAATTTCTTGCAAAGAAGATAAGTTATGAATTTGTGCGATTTTCTATATCCGCTTTACATCATGTCCCACTGAGGATATCTATTTATTTATTTATTTATTTATTTATTTATTTATTTGGAATTACCCTCAGGGTTAGATGCATTATAGAGGGGAGTGGTGCAATTAAAATAAACACAATACAAACTTTCTTCTGCAAATACGATGTTAACTAAAAAATAACAGTACAAGTTATAACTATAAAGGCGAGAATCAGACTGTTGGTGAGAAAGCATATTAACAGTAAAGACAAGTTACAGTAGCAGTTTTAACACACCAAACAAGAATCAGACAGTTTGCCAAGAGAAGAATCACATAATTGGTTTGTTGCATAGCAGTACACTTAAGTTTAAAACTTCATGAATGCCTTACATTTGATGCCTTACAACAGAAAACAGTAAAGCATGACTAGAAAGTGTTGTCCTTCTGCATTTGTTTTGCACAGAGGCACATTCATGTGGTTTCGATGTGCTGTACATGTATTCCCTTCGTGGATGCATGGGTGTGTAGCGTAGTGGTAAAGAAGCTCGCTTTCGGTGCATGAGGGTACGAGTTCAAATCCCAACGTCGAGAGAAGAAAAATTTGTTATTTTATTTACGCTAAAGACATTATCGGGTCTAAACAACCACTCTTGGCGCCGAAAGAAGCGCTGTAGCTGGTCCGCAGGTCCCTACGGGATTGTCCGCTCTTTATGGAAGTATGTTTCTCTATGCTATTACACAGAGTGACGTCAATAGTTTTCCAGCTGTTGCATCACATCCACCTTATTTTTTGTTCCACCGAAAGTGTTCCCTCCTCACAGAGATGGTGCTAAGCCCCATGAGCAGCTGATCAGCCACCATTTTTTTGATGAACGTATGAGCTTCTATGAAACCTTCGCTACTAGTTATATCTACCTTGGAACTTCAACGTGCCTTGACTATCACTGGACGAATCTGTGATTTCGGCCAGCGTCACTGTATATTTAGTGCTAGCATTTCGCTCCGGCTGGCACTATCGCATTGCGTGCGTTCCGAGTGCGGTACACGACCTGATGATAACCATGACAAGTATCAAATCAAATCAAATCAAAGTTTATTTACATCCTGAAGATGTGGGCAAGCTTTGGCGAAAAGCGAAACAATTCGCTTGAGGAAAGCCCAAGCCCCCATATACGAGGCATAACAGTAGAGACACACAAAGATGTGAAAACGCTATCAGAAAACAAACTAGCGCGTTACATACATGAAAAAAAATACTAACACAGATACTCTCACGGAATCATACCAGCGCGTTACATGAGAAAAAAAAAAGAGAAAGGAGTAAAATGTTTAATGTAACACCCTAAACCTTTGTTTCTGCAATATTTATGACAACAATGATACAGGGTATGTGTAAATGTTCATGCCAATAGTCAATCGATAGAGAATGATTTGACCCAACAATTTATTCAAAAACAACAGGCAAACATCAAGCAAACAAAAGCAATGTAAATATATATCTCTTCATACAGTACAGCAAATATTTTTTTTTTACGGTGATTGGTTACAGGAAGTGTTTTTTAATATGACTTATACTGCGTTTCTCTACTTCTATTTCGCTTCTGAGGAGAGTATTTAGCAAGTGAGGCAAACAATACTGTAACATTTGTCGTCCGTATTCAGTTCGGCAGAAGGGGATGTTCCAGAAGTCTTGTTTGCGGAGAGAATAGAAGGGAGCATTTCCTCTTAGATTAGCAAGATTTAGAAGGTCATGCTGATTTTTATAAACAGCCTTTTTATATCTGATAGCTAGTTTCCAATCATAAAATTTTTCTATGGGTACAACGTTAAAACGATGAAACAAATCCTTTGTGTGCGCATGATATTCAACGTTAGCTATGGACCGAAGAGCCCTTTTTTGTAACATTAATATTCTATGGTTATTTCTCTGGGTGGAATTTCCCCACACCAAAAAACAATAATTTATGTGAGATAAAAAAAGCGTGTTGTACAGCATGAGTTTTATCGATACAGGAAGAATCTGTCGAAATTTTGCAATAGCACCCACACTTTTAGCCACGTGAGATTGAACGTGGTCGAAATGATCGTCCCAGGACATATTTTTTTGAAACAGCCCACCTAAAATTTTTATTGAGTTCACAAATACTATAGGCGCCGTGCCTAAAAATAAGGAACTATCAATGGTGACTGAAAGCTGACGCGGATGAAAAAGAACGGCCTTTGTTTTTTATCATTGATCAACAGCGAGTTTTCTTTACTCCACTTTTGTATGTCTTCAAGGGCGTTATTTATTTCAGGTGCTAAAATTTGCAAATTTTTTCCAGTGAAAAATAGGCTGGTGTCATCAGCGTAAATTACATAAGTTGGTGTTTTGTTGATAGTGTTTATGTCGTTTATGTAAAGGATGAACAATAAAGGACCCAATATGCTTCCTTGCGGAACGCCAGTGACTACCTGCTGTAACGCTGAAACGGCCGTTCCTATGCTGACACATTGAAACCTATGCTTCAAGTAGGATTTTATCAAAAACAGTGGCACGCCGCGTATACCATATAGTTGCAGTTTTTCTAACAAGGTTGCATGCTGAATCCGGTCAAAGGCCTTAGAAAAATCTATGTAAATGCCTACACATATCTGTTTTAATTCAAAAGCCTTAAGAATGATTTCCTTCTGGGTTAGTAGTGCAGATTCAGTTGATTTGCCGTGGAGAAAGCCATTCTGAGACTCATTAATTAAATTGAAAGCGTGACTAAATTTTGTTATTCGCTTATGAATAATCTTCTCAAGGCCCTTTGAAAATATAGGCAATACAGAAATCGGCCTGTAATTCGACAACTCATTCCTATCGCCCTTTTTGTGCAGGACACTAACTTTAGAGATCTGCATCATTTTCGGAAAACAGCCTGTTGCTATTGCAAGGTTGTATATGTGGGCAAGCAAAGGAGCAATGACGTCAAGCACAAACTTTACCGGCTCGATCTGTATATCGTCAATATCCCTAGCTCTGCTGTTTTTGAAAGACGCATAAATATCTCGCACCTCGTGTTCATCCGTTGGCTCTAAATAAATACTGTGCTTATTTTCCTTAATACCATAGGTTGCAGGAGGGATGCACTGTCCGATACTAACCGCATCCCGAAAGAACTTATTGAACGCTTCAGCAAGTTCTTTTCCGCATATGCGCTTACCGTTTATAACGAGATCATCGACAGTCGATGGCGGTTGCGTACGGTTTAACAGTTTATTTAGTTTTTTCCATACATCTCCTGTTTGATTACAGTATTCCCTGTGGAACTGGTCATGCAGATATTTGTTCTTTTCACTTCTAAGGAAAGAGGTTAGCTTATTTCTATATTGCCTAAAGATATCAAAGTCAGTATCCAGTCTACTCTTAAGAAACTTTTTGAACAATCTCGTTTTTCGTTTAATTCTTTTTATGCATTCACGGTTTACGACCTTTACCCTTTTTTATATTCTGCGTTATTAGGATAAAATGCTCATGGTAGATACGTTTAAAAATGGAAATAAATGCCTCGTAAGCTGCATCTGCAGTTTCACTACGTCTGACGTCTTCCCAGTCTTCTTTTCGAAGCTTTGAAAGGAAAGCATGCAATGTTTCAGCGGTGATTTTCTGAGTTATTATTTTTGCTCCTGCATCCTGCAGCTTATGTTTTACTGATGTTCTTGCGAGCATGTAAATGGGAAAGTGGTCGCCGATACCGGAGCACAAGGCTCCTGATATCACGTTTTTTGTGCTCATATTTGTGATAAACACGTCAAGCAATGATTCTGTGCAAGGAGTGACGCGCGTCGCAGTGTTTCCTGAAAGCGTATAGCCATTTGACTCGACAGTGCTGAGAAGGGCCGCTCGATTATGGGAAGGTTGCAATAGGTCTATGTTAATGTCACCCCCAAGTATTAATTTATATCTATTGTCATTTACATAGCCTAGCATCTTATCTAAATGACTGATGAAGCAAGCCGAGTTTCCGTCTGGTGGTCTATATGCAACACAGAAAACTTGTTGGTGGGATAATATACATAAACACTCAATATCACTCGTAATGGTACAGATTTCCGCAATAATTTCAGATTTTCGTTCGTTTTTTACTAAGATATCCACGCCACCACCCTGACGTGTAGCTCTATTTATAAAAAAACTGCGATACCCGTTATGTTCGTATATGTTGCTGTTTGTGTCATACCAGGTCTCGGTTAACATGATTATGTCAAACTGAAAATCCATAGCGTCTAAAAGGACCGATAATTCGTCCTCTTTATGCCTTGCCGAGCGAATGTTTAAATGAAAACATGTGAGCATGATACCTGCATGAGATTTGAATAACTGATTGACGTCATGGGGTGATTGAGCCATCTTGAAGACGAGATAAACACATAGAAATGGGTGGTGTGGATCACACTATCTTTTCAACATCCTGCGCAGTGCGATTGCGCACTACCGGAGCGGATTCTTCCTTTCTGGCGAGAATCTTTCCGTTGCTCGTCCACACGAAACGCCAGTTCTGAGCCTTCTTTTTCGCAATTGCCATGCCAAGCAGGTGCTTCATGGCTGGGCTTAGGTGTTCGTTTATGAACACAGGCGTCCCTTGCGAGTGACCGAAATCTTCACTTGTTATGCGCATTTTCTTTGCCTTATGAAGAACCATGTCCCGCTTAGAGCGGCTTTTAAATTGTGCAACAATGTTTGGAGTGTCCTTTACATTCTTCGAGACAACACGGTGGCAAACTTCGACGTCGCTTTCATCAATGGGGACATTCAAAAGTTCTCCAACACGATGAAGAGTCTCGAGAAGCTTTTCATCACTCGATAGGGGTATGCCTTTAATTTCAATGTTTCGGTTGCGTGAGTACTGTTCCGACGCAGTGAGCCGCTGCTCATGTTCAGAGCTCTGCTTTTTCAGCATTTCACAATCTGCAGCTAGCTTTGCGTTTGCTTCTTTGAGCGCCTTATTTTCTTTGAGAAGTTCTTTCTGTTCTTTCTTTGTCTTTTCAAGTTCATCATTCATGAATTCCAAACTTTTCCTAAATTCACGCATTTCTGTCCTGAGTTCGCGTTCCAGTTTTGTTTTGAAATCGCGCATTTCTTTCCCGAGCTCTTCTCGGAAATCTTCCGGCATCGCTTCAGGTGACAAAATGCAAACAAAGAAAAGGAAAAATAGTTCATGCACACGGTCGCTATATTGGGCAGCAAGTAGAGGCAGCAAAAAACAAACAAACAAAAGGTTCGTGAACCCAACGGAAAAAAAAGTGCTAACCTGTGTAAGAAATACAGAACGTGCTTAACACGGCTTTCTTGCGCTGCCCCTGCTGCCACCAAGTGAAGTTGCACCGGCGTTGCAGGCCTTTTTGTAGCGGTAGCTGGACTGATTCCCTGGTGGGTGCGTCGTCGTCAGCTTCCTGCTTCGTAAGCGCTGCCTTGTCTTGCTTCGATGATCCGTGCTAGTGAACTGGTATCTGTGTAAGAAATACAGAACGTGCTTAACACGGCTTTTTTGCGCTGCCCCTGCTGCCACCAAGTCCGGTGGGGGAGTTTTCTGTCATAATTTTCAAAGCTGCTACCGGCCACTCTTTCTTTTCAACTCTTGTAGCTACGGCGAATAAGCGACATGAAACCTTGTTACGTCACTCAGCGTACTATCATCGCCTCATCGGCAGACTCTTCAAAGTGCTAACGTGCCACCGTGATGCTCTAGGCAATCAGTACTTGATGCCCAATGGCAACTGCGTTAGCCCACCTACATACAAAACAGTGCTGAAACGTTTGTCTGACTTGCGACATTACAGTAGCACTCATCCAGACACGGATGAAAACGGCTGATACGTGTTCGCCCTTTGCGAAAAAGCCTGCACTGATGCCGGAGCATTGGCTTTCGATATCACAGGCTTCGTAAAAACACTTCGCAGCCTCACTGCAGTATTCTTGTGCGTCTGGATCACACTAACTGTCAAAAAACGTTTATTTCATCGTCGACCTTGCCCTTTAAGGTATGCAAAATTAGGGAATTGACAACAAGGATACTCTGACCTTTGACAACACCACGCTTTGACATTGCAATCTAGAAAATGTGGTACTTCCAACAGCAATATCTCTACATCATAGCGAGAAAATTAACGCCGCGCATGGAATTATCTCGCTGGCAGTATACCCTTGCCACTGTTTATAGAGACGTCATCCGCAAGGGGCGCTTGTGGTCGGCACGGCTGTCGTCACACCCGTAGTCTCGAGAGCTGACGCTATCCGGACCACAACAGAACAGCCTGGCTAAATTTGCGTGTTGTTTTGATATTTTTCTCAAGGAAATGGCGCCGTATACATGTTCAGAGGACTTTCTTCTATTAGAATGCGGTTAAGGACTAATGCGCGTGGACTGACGAAGCCTGAAAAGTTGCGCTATGAGGAAAAGGTGCTCCTTCATGGCGGTGTTGACCCCCTTGACTTGAACGAAGCAGAGGTGAAATGCGACATGAAACTTTTGCCACGGGTATATTGCACAGACATCAAGGGTTATCCACTACACTCAGCAGGCTTCATAGCTCGAGAGCAGCTGAAGTCTTACAAGGCTTTGATGCTCACAATATCTTACCAGTGGCTGGGCGCAGGATCCGCGCCTGAACACTCCCTGACAACCAAATGGTCATTATTGGCAGGGTAAGCTCCTTTAATTCTTCGCAAAACGCTCAAAACCGTCACGTGTTGTGTGTTAGATTTTATTATAACTTCTCGCAAAAATATCTGCCATTTCGCGTCAAAATAAATCACACAGCACGTATTATTCAGGCATATATTCCACTAAGTCACGAAGATCTCGATTTTCGAACAAACTCGTTTTGAGTTTTATGAACATATTAGTAATGATAGTTAAGGTTTGTTGCAACCTTTTTTGCTTTGTCTCGTGTGGTTCATGGAGAGTATTTTATGATGTCTTTGTATCTTACGTCTCTTCCCATGATAAAAATCTTTCTAGTTGGCGCACCTGTCGTGCTCCCATCGTTATTCTGCCCGTTTTCAGCTGGCGCTCTTTTTCCTGCTACTTTAAGTTACAAACTAAATAAAAATAAAACGCCGATTTTAGGCGCACTTAAACATTCGCCACCAAAACAAAAAAAGGAAACAAACACCGAGGCTTATTTCAGTGTACCTATATATACATAAACATTTTTGCTTGCTGGTGTAACGTCTGGTAGCGTTGCACCATCATAATAAACAGGTTAAGCAGATTAGGCGCACTGCACTTGAAGAGCGTATCAAAAGCATAGGTCGGCAAAAAATTGTAGCACTTACTCGGACTCGCTTTAGAAAGGTATTTCGCGCTTAGGGCTCACTTAGACTGAGTCTCACCACAATTTGCTCAACCGGGCTCAAGCTCATCAAAATGTTACTCATCCTGGCTAACTAGGACTCGGGGACTCACAGCTCAATCTGAGCCTGGGTGAGTCAAATCGGGAGTGAGTTTGCCGACCTATAATGACGGGCACAGTAAGAAAGAACACCTCCAACAATCAACATAGGTGGTTCACTCAGGTCATTTAAATAAGCCCCGTGAGAGCACCGGCTTGAAGAAAATGCTTGGCTTCCCTGGCTCTTTTTAAAGTTGTATTTTGCATGCTTAAAATTAAGCAGGCATCATTAAAAAGCGGCTCCATCAAAATTAAAGTTTCAACATTTATTTCCGATCCTTTTAATTTTTCTCCACCACCCTTTTATGTCACTAAATGAGATGATGAAAAGACGTTGACAAAGATTTTTGCGTTTCAAATAGGGGCTCTCGTAGCCAATATCACCGAAATTTTGATCTACCACGCGCTCGGAAAACCGAGGCGAGAAGATCGAGCTGCTCCATGGGAATAAGTGGAAGTTCTGACGAATAATTTTCACGCCTGAAGAATCTGCGCGCCTAGGGGTGCACCATTTTTGATTTACAATGGATGCTATTAAAAAGGAACCATTGTAAGAAGTGCGCAAGTTGAAGGAAAGCACTTGATAATTAGAGCATTCCTCCCAGCAGATCCGCTTCATTATTCTTTAAAGGAGAGAGAGAGAGCTCACCAATTCAAATTTCAGATTTGGGAGATCCTTTTCATGTCCACACGAACACCAAACCACGACGCTGAACTTGAAGACGGACACTGAATCAAGCAAGAATAAAACTTTAGATCATATTAATTTTAATTGAATCACTTCAGTGAACTGCCCCTAAGCTCGCAGTGCAAATCGGTACGTGTTTTTGCCTAAGAACAAAATGATTTGGATGTTCCTGGTATATATTGCGCTCTATCAGCACGTGCAATGTCATTGCAGCAAATGTAATTTATTCGTGCCCTAAATGAATTGACCATTGGTATAAAAGATGCTGACGCTTGTGTTTGACTTGGAATAATGATGAAAAAGACGGTACTAAGCGGATCGTGACGTACGAAGCAGTCGTCGGCCACGCAATCATTCGCATGCAAGTGGTAGATAGCGCTGAAACCAAACACCGCTCCCCACAGCTTCGATTAGCCTAACATTAGCATCCCAATTTGAATCTCTATTGCGAAATACACGGTCTGCTTTGTTCTTCCACCTTTCAATTTATTTCTGTTTTAATTAATTTCCTTTTATACGAGAGATTGTTGAATTCGCTGAAGTACTTTCAGAATGTGATTGGAATGAAAATCAGTGTGTAGTGATGCCAATTATTATACACTAAAATGTATGTGCCTTTACAGCTAATCTTATCGGATCTGTGCACCCACCTAGCAGGAAGGGTAATCAAAAAAGCGCTTCGTGAAACTGACGACTTTATTTTTTTTCCTAATTAAATCTCGAATCGTTGAACATTTATTCTCATACGACTGGTTATAGAACCGAATGGTGAGTCGAGACCCGTAAAGAATGCATATGTTTTTTCTCATATTTCACTGCGTTTACGGAGAAATAAGATTGAAAGCACATTTCCGTATGCGCTCCCGCATTTAAGTCCGGTTACCACATCTGTGGGGTAGCCTCAGCTTATAATACAACGATGCTTCATGCTTGTGCTATCCCCCGCCGCGGTGGTCAAGTGGCTGAGGCACTCAGCTGCTGACCCACAGGTCGTGGGATTGAATCCTGGCTGCAGCGGCTGCATTTTTTATGGAGGCGAAAATGCTGTAGGCCCGTGTGTTCAGATTTGGGCGCACGTTAAAGAAACCCAGCTGGTCGAAATTTCTGGAGCCCTCCACTACGGCGTCTCTCATGATCGCATGGTGGTTTTGGGACGTTAAACAGCCCACATCAATCAACCAATCAATCAATCAACCAATCGATCAATCAATCAATCAGGTTGTGCTCTTCGTTTTATCATCTGCGGCAATGCAGTAAATAAACTACAGGTATTCAAGCATCACGGATAAAAATAATATAGCTGTCAAAAAAAAACGTACAGGAAAATAAATAAAAATAATGAAAATGTTGTACTTTGTTTGAAAGTTGTCACTATTGCCTAAGTGGTCCTTGCAAAAACGTCAACGTAAATTAGCGCTGACTTGACGAAATGGTCAGCCGTAGGGAATGGCTGCAGATTCATTTTTACTATCTAGGGTTCATTAATGTGCTCCTATGTCTGACAACACGAGTTTCCTCACACTTCTCTCCCCGCCCCTCTAAATACAGGAAAACTATTTGTTAACTACGGAATGACATAATATCGCAAAAATGTTTTATTGAAGCTGACGAGGCACGACGACGTCGATAATGTGGCTTTTTTTTCATGCAACCGATCGTAATTAGGCAAAATCCGAGCGTGGGTCATGTTAAATGAGCGTATCGTTGATTCGAAATCTTAATACTACCGCGATGACAAAACTGCAGCTATTCATCCCTCTTCACCCAGCACAGAGTAGCCAGATGGTCTGAGAGCTGGCTAACCTCCCTGCCCAACCCTATGTCATAGGAATGGCACAACACAAAAGGGAAGTGTGTCTTCACAATAGTATAATGCATTGTTTATTGTACATTGACGTACGAGAGCTTGCACAACCTCAATTGTTGTTTGCCAGCTATAGCACCGTTTGACTTGGATCCATCAACCCTTCTGGTTGCTGAAGTTAAGGGAGTACTGGTACGTATTTTAAATATGTTTCGATTATTGCTTTA